GAATAAATATCAAATGTTTATATGAGCTGAAATATACAGTTTGTAAAAGGCACCAATTATTTCGACTTGTTCATAAATAGAATGATATCTACACACACACACACACACACACACACACACACACATCTACACCTCTACACCTACCATCACCTCTTTCCCACGCCAAATACCTCCGAGTGCTGCAGCTTTCCTAAAATTTCATTGATGTCAGGTTCCCTCGCAGCTACACACACACACACACACACACACACACACACACACACAAACACACACACACAAACACACACACAGAAGCTCAACAACCTCAATCTCATCTCTTATAAAGCACCCGCCATAATAAAGACACAAAAGAGGGCTGCGTGTTTTGAAGCCCAGTAGAGCATGACACTGGAGTGAAGGAGAAGCCTTGTTAAAAGCTCCAGCAGCTCTGTCTTCTTCTGTGTCTCTCGCTAATGGATGGGTAAATTTAGAAATATAGTCAAAAGAGAGGAGACGAGAGGGGAGGAAATTGTTTCAGCCTGAGGAATCCTCTTCCTTTTTTTTTGGTTGAGGACAGAGAAGAGCTTTTCTTAATACGATCAAAAGGAGTTTAAAAGGAACAACCTGCTCAAAGTGTTTTAATCTGAAGCAAAAAAATAAATACATAATTTTCCTTAACACTGGGTCCCCTGTCGTCGCACCTGTAATAAGTTATATGCCACATGGCGAAATGGTGGCATGATGGTTTTCCTTAAAATATGACTGGAAGAATATGACTGAAGAAAGAACGGACCTGCGGGGGATGACATCATCATAATGATATTCATCCTAATGCACCATCTGGAGTAATGGCTTTTGGACGGTCCTTTGACCGAGCCCCGAGCTACAGTGATTTAATGATTTATTGACAGTGGCATGCCTTACGGCCATACGACAAAATAAAAGCTTATAATCATGCCACTGTGAAATCATTATGTCATGCACATGCACTCACTGAGCACTTTATTAGGAACACCATACTAATACAGCTTCAGTTCTTTGTGACATGGTTTCCCAACGTCCCCTTTCTGCTCCATGACGACATGATTGTATCACATCAGTCAGAATGACTGGTGAGGACACAAGTTCACTGAACTCCCATGTACATGAGACCAGTTTGAGATGCAACATGGAGCCTTATCCTGCTCGAAGTGTCCATTAGAAGCATCAAAACCATGATTGATAAAGGGCAAAAAGTGTGACCAGACACTATCACACTCACAATGTAACTCACTGAGATCACAGCACAGAAGTACACTTATTTAGTTTCTTGCAGAGGGTTACTGTAATACTTGTCTCTCCAGTAAATATACAGCTACAAACCGACGTTTATATCCAATGTTCAACGTGGAAACTTTTGAAATATGAAAAAATCTGAACAGAGTTTGGTTCATTTGTTGCAGCAGCAGCTCCGCTGAATCAGGAAAATGACGATCATGGGTAATATCCACCTTTCAGTCTTTCCATCAAGTAAGTGGGCTACACAGTCACAGCTCTGGACATATTGATTGACTTGTTTTTCCTCAACATGACATTACTAAATGCTCAGACACAGAAATCCGAATCAATCAGCACCTGTGGCTGCAGAGGGCGCTGTTACTCAGTAAAAGTTGCATAATGTTGCTTTAAGCAGGTCCTGGGTGAGTGCTAGAGAACTTCAGGTGCTGCATTCCAGCAGTCCAAACTTTGAATAAGTGGGCTTATGAAGATAAAGTGCAGGTGTTGACTGGTTGGAAAAATAACCAATCACATTCTCTCCTCCTGCACCACACAACCCTTGAACGAAGCATCTGTGCAAGAAGCCGCTCCACTGGAGTTGCTCAACGTCCGCAGGGGCTGTAATGGCTCCCAGGTGAGCCCTGCTCCTCCACTAAATGAGGATATGCAGGACACTGCTGAAAACAAGCAGGTGTGTTTCATCAAACCATTGCTGGTTAATAAACTGTGTAAAAAGTGCAATTTTGGCGTTAGACATGGTTCAGAAATCTACAAAAACAGGGCCATCCTTTGTGTGCATGATGCAAAAATCAAATGTCACATCTGTAGAGGGGAAACGAAAAGTAAAGGTAAACATGGCAAGTTTCAATTCTTCCCCAATGAAGTGTTCCATAGCCATTTGTTATGGTTTCAGCGACAGCCTGCGCTCGTGTCTCCAGCCTGCCATAAGACACTCGGGCACAAAGACACACGCCACAGCCATGCAAACAGGATTTCTACACT